ATAAACTTCTTAACTGAGAAGTAAATTCAAAATTTAATCCGTCAAAATAATCAAAAAAGGTCTATTTATTATTTTGACGGTTAAATGTTGAATTTACTTCTTAGTTATTACATCAGAGTGTGCATTGAGAGAGGGGTAATATAGTACGTGATTTAGGATGGTTGCATTTAGAGAGGTTAGACTGTTCTCTGCACATACATGCCAACAGTCACAATGAAAAATATGAACATAATATGAACATAGCCATTTTCAATTGGACATATAAAATTTGGAATGTCAATTCCATTCAAAAAATAGTCCAAAAGTCAACACTGCATGAAACCACTGATTTGAGCAAATGATTATAATGGGGGAGTTTACTGTAAAATCAAATATTTAATGGAAACTTGCAAAAAATTTATACATCGTGACTTCTGTCCTAGAAATATATTAATGTTATTGTTGAACATTTTGAGTTTGGGATGACCATTTATATATATATAAATTTAATCAAGATATTTGTGGATCAATATAGAGGTGCTAAATACAAAGCCATATACTAATGTTATAGATATTTATAAACTTGGAATGATTTGTACGAAATTGTAAGAGATTAAGAACGTTTAATGTTATACAAAATTTATCCTTATGGGAAAAGTACATCCAGGATTTTACTTTATTTATACGGGATATTACATTATGCGTATGGGAGTTTATGGAGTTATACGCAAGGATTATGAACGTGTCAACTTCATAGAATGTATGTCAGGGATACATAAGGAACCTGAAAAGTTCTATTTGATATCTGCTCGGAAATACGTCAGAATTATGGTCCATATCATATGGAAAACCAATATATAACAGTATAATACAAATCAACCAACAGCTATCAATAATCCCGCCCTCAGTTACATATCCAAAAATATTCAAGTTTGAATAATTAACTTACGAATAATTCTAGCAATTTGTAAAATTAGTGTCTGGATTATAATTCAGCTAAGCTAATTCAACAGGATAATATATGATTGTTTAGATACTCTTTCATCTTTATCTACAAGGACAGAATGAAACTGCTGAGTGCGAATTAAAATAATTATTAAGAATGATTAGCATACTGATAGTTACAGTAGGGAGCAAAAGTATCCGAACGCTCCTAGTTTGGGACAGGAACAAGTAAAACGCTTTGGGATTTTCTTACATATAGTGTATAACAAGCCGATCGGATGTCTCCAGAAAATTTTTCAAACATCAACGTTTTTACCTATATATTTCTCACGATTTCGACTGTAAGAATTCAGAAATTCATATCTCGACACTTTTCTAACCAAATTTTGTAATTCTTGTTTTATTTAATTTCTCTGCACCATTAAATTGTATTTACATAATTTTAGAAAAGATTACTATATAATTGCTACTATAAAATGTGAATAATCATATGATAAGATGATATTGATAAATGGCATGCATGTTTGTTGCCAAGTACGATAACGATTTTCTTTCAATTCGGCTATACACCTCAAGAAAAATGCAGATATTGATTTAGGAAACAAAACAAAAAAAAGATTACACAAATCGATTAGAAACATGTGGAGATATTGATTTTTGAAGTTTATATCGAAATATCGATGTGCGGCTTTTCTATGTTTTAATATGTTTTTATATGTTTTTAGAGGCAAACATTGGATGTTTGGAAATTTTTCTGGAGATGCCCGATTGGGCTGGAAATTTTACAGGTGATTATGGTTTGTTATACACTATATGAAAGAAAATTCCAAAGCGTTTTACTTGTTCCTGTCCTAAACTAGGAGCGTTCGGATACTTTTGCTCCCTACTGTATTTAAAAGAATCTTTAGATAGAAAATAATTTTGATAAAATAAGATTGACATAATTTGAGTTCAGCATAGCTTAAACTTTAAGTGATTGAAAGACCAATACGTCTGGCCCTCGAGGAGCATTAGCATATCACCAAATCTATAAATAGATATCGACATGTCTTATGATTTTTGTGACTTTAAGGAATTTATAAAATGGCAGATTGATTTTTGCATTTCATGTTTATTGCTGTTTTTCAGACATGCGTGTTTTTCTGTTGTATACAGGAAAAATGCAACCATTATCAAAATTCGATAATTTTTATTTATAATTATATGGAACCTTCAACTGAATATTGTCATTATACTATTTTCCTTGAAATGATTACCTGAAAAAAGTAATTTTTAATATATAATCAAGGATATCTTAAGCGCTCTTAAAAAATCAACACATGATGCATTTTTTTCATTTTAATACAGATTTGACTATTATTTATATACTAAAATGTTATAATGCTAGCATTAATGATATGCTTTTTACAATTTTTATATTATTTGAAATACAATTCTTAAGCAGAATAAATTTTTTAATAGGTCAACTTAGTAAAATTCAAATCAGATTACCATTCTTTGTGGTTAATTCTGTATTAAAATTCTTCGAATCAGTCAAAGTTCTTCTAATCCTATGTATAAAGAGGATTTTGTTCATGAAATTGAATATGAGGATTCTGTAAAAGCCTCTGCTACTGAAATATTCCAATATATATATATATATATATCAATAATTAAGGATAAGACTGTTATTTGGTAGTTAACTTTTCACGTGATTATATTCTGAGTTCTAGAACATATATTAAGTCTTATATCAAATAGATTAATGGAAATAAAAAGTATATAACTTTCAAATTAGATATTGATTTTCTGTCTCCAAACTCTCGTATATGGAACGCCAGTTCACCCATTCAATACACTCAGCTTTAGATTGCTGTCAAAACTGTTCGTATTCTTCCGGAGACACTCTCATTAACTCCATTAACAGATCGCTAATATAACCGGTAAAAAATTCTTCAAATTTAGTTAAATATAGTTCTCCATAGATAGCTCCAGGTGAACCAAGCCTTATTATCTATATGTTTCGTTGAATATACATTAATTGTTCAGTATCGAGGAGTATTTTTTCTAAATTAGCGCTAGTCGTTTCAAGACACGTAAGGAGATAAATATTAATATTATAGTTTGTTATTGCAAAATAAAAAGTAATAATTATATTGGTTAGTGTTATCATTATGGAATCAGAATACAAAAGATGAGAGAAATGCATTTATGTAGTACTTGAAATTAGCAGAGAATGGAAGCATAGAAGGACAATTTAATCCAGATTGGTATTATGATGAAGAATTCGGAATACAAAAAGAGTATTTGAGTAATACTTGAAATCAGTAGAGAGTTGAAGCATAAAAGGACAATTTAATTCAGGTTGATGTTATGATGAAGGATTCAGAACACAAAAAGATGAGAAAAAAGCGTTTAAATGGTACTTGAAATCAGCAGAGGTGAATATACAAGCGGACAATATAGTCTTGGTTTTTGCTATGAAAAAGGTATAGGTGTTTCTAAAGATAACAACATGACTAAAAAGTGATATAATACTGCAACTGAATATGGTCATAGCGATGCAAAAAAAGTTTAAAAAACATAAGTTTAGCATGTCAAAAATTTTTATCATATAATTTGCCTCTTTTTATAAAAGACTGATATAAAATACATGGCAATACTATGAACATATTGTATATGCGCTTACATTATCCTCCTGTTTTGGAAGAAATCATTCTGTTCAAATTCACAATCTCTCAAAATTTATTTTAAATTATATCATTAATTTTATTTTTAACTCAATTGTAAATCTATGTGGTCTTTATCTCAAATCTTATTTTTTATTACATGTGCATTAGAAAACTAAAATCTCAAGCTTTCAAACAAAATAAAAAAAATCCTGTCAAATTCAACCAATACTCATAAAAATTGCGAACTTACAGATTTTGAGCGTGGTAGATTATTGGTGCTTGGAAGATGATTGAAGATACTTTTGGAATGATCCAAATCTACTATTCATAAGGTTATTAACAAATACAAGTACTTTCGTCACACTACAGTTGCTCCCCGAAGTGGTAGACATCAAAATTTGATGACAGAGCCATTCGAAGATTAACCAATATTATTAAAGATTGACAACAAGCAGTTGCTGAAATTACTAAAAAATTCAATACTGTTATGACTGTAAAAAGAACGATACAACGTGCTCTTTATGAATTTGGGTTTTTTGGTCGGGCTGGGACGAGAAACCTTATATCTCTGGGGAAACCTGTTAAAAATGGTGTTTAAAAAGAAAAGATTGAATTAATGAATGGGAATCAGTAGTTTGGAGTGATGAAATGATACCCTTCAATGAGTTTGGTGTCAATCACATGAAAAATATGATGTTGAATGTCTTCTTCCTGCTATGAAATCAAGGATTAATGGTATGGGGATGTTTTACTCAAAATGCACTTGGACCATTAATCGAAGTTGAGGGTAGAATTACTGATATAAAGTATATAGAAATAATGGAACAGTATCTTCTGCTATTTTTAAATGATTTGCCAGGTAGCTCTGTTCATCTTTTTCAAGATGACAATGCTTCAGTTCACTGATTTGGTCTAACTAGTCAATGGAAAGAGGAAAATTTAATCTCTTCACTTCCATGGCCTACCCAGAGCCCCAATTGAACATTTGTGGGATGTTTTGGAAAGATGAAATTCGTAAACTTCCAAATCGCCCAAAAATTGATGGATGCACTTGCGGAGGAATGGGAAGCAATTGAACCGGATATTTTAAGAAATTTGGTTGAAAATATGCCGAGAATAGTGCAAGCTGTAATTGATGCAAATGGAATACAACTCGATATTAAATTATATGTATAAAAAGCCCTACTTTTACTGAATAAAATAATATATTTTTTATTGTAATTTATTTATAAAGGAGTCGAGTAATATAATAATCTATTTTTATTGTAATTTATTTATAAAGGAGTCGAGTAATATAATTTTAAAGTATCACAAATTTCACGACATTACTGATCATTTCCCGATTCCAGAATTTTTACCGAATGTACATGTTCGGTATGTATTGAAGTGTTAGCTGAAAATTTAGTGAAAGAGCAGCTACTATCTTTATCTTTCTTTGGAATATATAAAATATTCCGATTCAGGAGAGTTAGCATTAGGAATATGGTGTTCCTCCGAAGAGATATTTGACACATCGACAAGTTGACTGGATAACTCGGATCCAGGCAAGTTAATGTTGGAAATTGTGTATTCCATCGAAGAAATATTTGACACTCCGACAAGTTGACGGGATAACTCGGATCCAGGCAAGTTAGCGTTAGAAGTTGTTGTTTGCAGGTATTGCGTCGAAGAGCTGTTAGACCAATTGGCAGATTGACGAGATAATGCGGCCGATAATTGATGGTATTGATCTTTTTCATCATTATGCATTGTTGCCCACAATTTTGACGCGATTGTAGAGATTTCCACTGGTCTTTTTACTCTTCCACCCTTCTTCAAAGCTTTACTGACCTCTCCGCGAAAGAGAAGAAACGGACTGCATGATCTCATATCTTTAAAGTCATCTAAATAAGGAGGTTCATAATATTTCCTGAATACTTCTTCATCTGTATCATCTGTATCATCTGTTTTATTAAAGTTCATTATAATAATTCCTTAGAAGGTTCTTTTCTCGTTTATTTATTGTTGTTTCTTTTTGTAGAAGGAATAATTCCTAAATTTAATTTATACTCTTCGTTGTTAATAGATGTACTTGCTTTTTGATTTTTCATTTGACATGACTTGGCATTAAAAGTGCATGTAAATGGTTTTGGTTTTATTGGTTAATCATTCACATCACTCTTGTTTATATGTGACATGTACGCTGATGCATTCCTGTTAAACTCAAATATTTGTGTAATAACTGATCTTTAATGCATCAGTTAAATATGAACACGACATTTTATCCCCCCGTAACGATAAAAATATGATTAATTAAAGAATGAGTACGTAGTACGACATTTTTTTATAAGCTATGCACAGAACACAAATACATACATGTAATCTGGTCTGTAGCTTATGTCAAGAAAACTACTTACGTATCGTATTTTCAGTTTGTTGAACTTTGAATGAAACATAAAAATGATTTTTCGTGTATCGGATTATCATCGATTATTTAATTTTGCTTGTTAATGGATTTCTATTTCCGCAATTAAACCTTATTAATATTGATTGTTTCATCCATTGGTGCTTAAGATTATATACGAGATTTTTTGGTGCATATTCTAAATGCAAGAAAATATTAAAAAATACATGTAATTTAATTCTTCTTGTATAATTAATTAAAAATGTGATTATAGCATGAATGTGGTTACAACGAGATGATTCCTTATAGCTACAAGATGATTTCTTATAGCTACATGTAGTTCTTTTGAAAAGAGTGTGACCATAGCGAGGTTTTAATAAGATGCGAATAGAAAAGTGGTTGAATATATATTCAATTCTAGAAAAAAATGGTTTGGATTCCTAATATATAATGATTGATCTCTAGAAATTGATTATTATCAAATATGCTTTATAAACTGTTTTCATTGCTATAATTTAAATTCACAATTTGCCAGAACTTATCTCGATCAAATATTCGAAATTCAGTTATTTTGGTGGGCAAATTCTTTAATGTTGTCCAAGAAAGTTACATATGTAATGAATTATAGATTAATAAAATTGTTAAGAATCTTAAACTGCGCGCATCTTATCTATATAGCTAACTTATTGTATGGATGTTCGCCCAACATCCCTAAAAATCGCTCAATTTCTTTTCTTTGCTTTAAGCCAATTATCATTGAAAAGAGATTAGGTAATTAAGTTGTTATTTTTTTAGATTATCATTTTGTCGAAAAGTTATATTTGTCGATAAGTTTTGGTTCAAGGAAGTTAGGTTTGTCTGATATTAGATTGTAGTGTTACGTTATCTTCTAAAGATGTTGAATAAAACATAACAACATCGAAAGAATATAGTTTACGAAAAGAAGGAGTTCTCTAAGCATTCGAAAGGATTCTTATGAAAACTTTTATGAAAACTTTTATGAAAACTATTATCCAGAATAATCGAAGGGAGACTCGGATGATGTTTTCAAAAGAAATTTTACAGTAGCTTGATGTCGATAAATTGCTAAGTCGAAGCCCTATAAGAAATATCATTCTGCAAAATTTTCCCTTATAAAAACTCTGTAATCCGTTATAGATTACAGATATCATACATCAAACGTGTTTTTAATAGTCATTAATTTTTCTATTTTCAGGTTAAGAGGGATCTTGGTTATTGAAAAACGTCAAAAGTGTGTAGCAATCTGTAATTTGTAACAATTAAAAAGATTTTACACACACTCTCAAATCCTTCATTGTAATTATCTACAAAAATACAGTTGATTAGTTCAAATTTTCTGTAAAGAAGGAAATTTGAATGGTTTCTGTTCCCAGTATTTGCTAATAACGATTGAATCCATATTCATTTCTGGTTGATAATATGATTACAGCTGATTAAATTTTGACTGAATAAATATTTGTCGATTGCTAAGTTAGTAATTCGGCAATGATAAACTTTTGATTGGGAACATAATTAGTAAAATGATATTGATAAATATATTTTTATACATGATAAAATAGCAACAACGATATATATATATATATATATATATAATCTCGATATATTGAAATCGCTAACTTATTAAATCAGTTTAAATCAGTCAAATTTTTGATCAGCTATTCAATTAGAATGAAAGCAGCTGTAAACGAAATAGTCTATAATAGTAAGATTACAAGTATCTAACACTATTATATAAAACCATATTTCCTTTATGCATTAATTATAAATATATCATAGGTTGTTCCACTGCTATTTTTATATTCTTGTGCTAACAATATAAATGGTTTTTTCTATTTTCTTTTAAAAAAATCGATATTCTTTTATATTAATTTTAAAATATATTATTTTTACATGCTTTCTTCTTTATTTGGAGGTAGACAATCAAATTGCAAACTCTATTAGCCTGATGAAGCAAAAAAAATTAAAGCTGGAAAAAATAAAGAAACAGATGTTTAAATTCATTGTTGAGCATGGAGAGAAATTATTTTATCAAATGGTGAGTTATTCAAATCCTGCCTAAAATTGAACTAATAAGAATTAAAATTACTACCAGCTAAGTATTTACAGTAACGGTCGACATTTCAAGTCACAAAATTCTAAATAAACAATATCCTGAATGAACAACATCACAAATGAATGAAATCCCAAATGGGTGGCATCTCAAAAGTATCATACATGTATCCATGAAATATTAAAGATATCATTCATGTAAAATTTCTTACAGGTTGACCCTTAGACAATTTTGAACAGTTTGGACAAAAAATTATTTTAATAATTTAATTATATAGATATTTGAACAACATTTTTTGACTGGTTCAAGGACCAACCTTGTTTCAGGGTATCGTATATTTGGAATGATTTTCATTTAGAAATTTGTTCATTCGGGAATTTATGATTTGGAATTTATTACCAGCTTCAAGCATTTGTATTGCTATTAGCTAATATATTTGAATATTATTAGGCTTTGTCAGACCAGTTCATAAAGTCCGGATCTGATCCGGTATTTCAGCAAGCCCAACCTGAGCCTGGCCCACTTGATAACAGACTTAAAAATAAGTACCCAGCCTGAGCCTGGATCTAGCCCGATTCATAAATTTCTGGGTTTAGCCCAGCCCATTCCATATCCTAAATACAAGTTATCAAGCTAAATACACTGCAAAAAAAAAAGGAAATCACTAGAAGAAAATCAAGAAATTATAAAATATGACTCATCTGGATATCTTTCTGCATGAACAAATATATAATTGTATTGAATTTGAACAGACTGATGCAAAAAGACGTCATGGAATTATTAAATTAGAACTATTAAAAATTTTCATTCTGCTTACAAGAAAAATATGAGATATATCTTACGAAAAAATAACACTTTCTAATCATATATTACCTCGATATTCAAAATCAACCACTTCAAAAGCTCATTATCATCTGGTTATAATGGCAATTACTGGAGTTTCTGAACAGAGAAAAGAATTATATTAATGAATATTATTGTTTTACATCAGTAAAAAGATCATATCAATTTGCTGTCTTATTCTCACAACATTCCATTATAATTTTACAGGATAATAAAGTCAAGATTCCTCTTGGTATTCCTAATAGTAGGTCGAACCTTTTAAGTTATACAAACAATTTGTGAAACTGTCACTGTTGTAAATCATGATTTTCCTATGGAATCACAACAAAAACTTATTCCTTCTGTATATTTAATTATCAATCCTCAAGATATTAATGATATACTTTGACAAGAATAACTGGTAATTCATATTCATCCACAATATAATGTCAGTACAAGATCAAATACGCATATGTCAGATTTAATTTCACTTACTTCTGACATTACTTTTGCTAATTTTTTCATTTAAGTTGATGGGTGGTCCTGATGAAAATCTACATTATATAAAAAATATTGATCAATATTGCAAGTTACTCCGATTGCTTAACTAGGAATATTTTTCTGTAAGAACAAATGCACCAGATCAGTCAGCTTATAATCCAGTAGGATATGGTATGTCAACTCTTCTTTTGGTAATCATCTTAATAGCCAAGAAAAGGTTATTGATTCTGTTCTTTCAAAAAAGCTTACGTTATGCTGGTAAATGACTCTTTGTCATCTATGGAAAAAAGTCAAGATTTTTGATAAGGATGTGTGAGTTGAATATTTCGATAAAAATATTTCACCTTTCCATACATAACCTTGCCTTCAATAATAATCAACAAATGAATAAAGAATGTGAAGAATTAGAAAAGACTGTTTTTCTGGGGTTGGATAGAAGAACATGTTCAAATTTGTAAGTATAGTCTTAATATCCACAAATGCCATCATAATCTTGATTGTTGTAATCCCAAATGTCATACAGAATCAGATATTTTTCTTGCCAAAGATAATGGTTTTCTACCTCTAGTAATTAAAGGACGAAATGGTCATTATCTTAATATAATAGAATATTATGGCAAAACTCAAAATACCTGGATATGATTCCCATTGTTCATCAGTATCTTCCGAAGTTTATGTACGACCTTGTTGTATACAATGTCATCAGTATTTTCCTATGCTTACAATGATAGCTACTCACAAAAAATCACGACATTCCAAGCAACGAAACACAATTACATGATTCGAACAAAGTTTACTTTTAAATTTCTCAGACGACTCAACTATTGTTTTATAATGAACATTTAGAATTTCGTAAAAGTGTGGTTTTAGCTATAATGAATCGAACATGTAGTTCGATTATGTATAACGATAAATTTAGTAAATAATCAATGCATAATAAAATTTATATATAACAATAATAAATATATGTACAGATAAATATAACATAAAGATAGTAGCATAATAAAATTCACCATTAACATCAAGACATGTAATAAAGCGGGGGCATATGATTAATAAATAAAAAAAAAATCACCAAAGATATTTATTTTTTAGTGCTGAAAGTCATGGCAAATGGGAAAACTAAATGCGAGTATTAACAACGGAGAATACAAATTAAATTAAATAAAGAGAACTGACTTTAGCTACCTACGAACAAGCAAAGAAGGAATTATTCCTTCTACAAAAAGAATAAATAAATGAGAAAAGAGCTGAGAAATTAAAAAGCTATTAAGGAATTTTTAAATGAATACATGAATAAACAAACAAACCTGAAGCGTTAGCTGAAATTCGTGGAAAGAGCAGCTGCTGTAGTTATCTTTCAAGTTTACTGTGATGTAAAATCTTTTTGAAATTGTGACACGTAGACCATGCACATGTATAAATATATCGATATGTAACATTTTTGGCAAATACCGAACATTACAAAGCGCATGTACATGTACATTAAATGAGCAAATTCCCGAATTGAAAATAACGGATCATTCGTTTATATTTACCACTACTTTAATATGGTCATTATATTGTTAGTATTTATCTAGTCAATTTTAAAGCAGTCATTCATTTATTATTTGCATTCAAAAAAAGGGAAACCTACAATCAAAAAAATCAAACCGAAAGTGGTGAATTGGTGTGTATCTTGCTATCATCAATCTTTTGAATAATCGATTAATAATTATATTTTATTTTTCATATCTTCAGAGTAAGGCTCACCTTATTAATACGTGTCAAGCTTTGAAAAAACAAAACTATGGAATTTATGAGTATCACACCTGAAGAATACGATCAGCTGCTCAACAGAGCACTCGAAGAATTAGAAAGATAACAAACAAATAAAGCATATTATCGCTTTTTATGCACAAAGAGTTATTGATAATAAATAATATGATAAAAAAAGTTATAAACTCTACACAATTTTTTTCTTTATTGAAATAATTTCGAAGCAACGCGATGACTTCTTAACATTATATTCATAAATAAGAATTTTCTCTTACAATTTATACGCATACGAATTGTAAATGCGTAGCTTAACATTACACTATTATTTAAAATAAAGACTTAGGTGTTTCAATAGGGTCTATCCCAACACCCCGACAATCTAACTTCCCAACTACCTAACTTCTCGACATAATCAACTTCCCGCCGAATCCAATTTCCAGACATAAACCAGAAATTGCACTAGTTATTTCGGGATGTTGGATTTTCGGGAAGATGGGTGTCGGGATGTTGGGTAGCACCCGTTTCAATAATCTCCCGTGGTCTACTAAACCAATTAGGACCTCAATCGAGTTAATTAACATACAAGCTTTGTTGATTCTTTATGTATTATTATTATTAAAAAGAACCCGTTTCACATTTTCAGTTGAATTCTAACATTAATTCTGTTTATCTAATATACAAATAAAAACTAGATCTCATCCTTGCATTTAATTTTATGTGTTTAGTAAAAAAAATTGAATCCTAAAACGTTTCATTAAAAAATAAGCCAAGGTTCTTTTATTAATCAAAAATACATGTAGAAATCTTATAAGATATGGCTTTCAACTTTTCCGGATTATTTAAAATTAATTCTGTCGCACTTGTAATAATTACAGGGTCGAAACAGAAATTTTGTGACTATAAACAGGCTAAAATTCCTCCATTACTATAGATGACTATATCGAAGTACGATTTATTATTGTTTTCAAGATTAAAAAAATAAAATTACAAAAAAGTGTGTCAAAAAATTTGAGCATGAATGCGTATCGAGGATGCATATAAACATGTTCCAAGATTCAAGAACTAAATTATTGCGTTAATATTTTAGAAAATAATACTTATTATCAATTGTAAATGTCTTTTAAAAGCCATTATATAGCATTTAACTATATTATTCATTGTCATCATTTCGCTGCGCACAAAAACGGTAATAATTGCTACCTGTTTGATACATTTCTATCTCTCCGAGTGCTTTATTTAATAATCGGTCGTATTCGTGAGATGTGATACTCATAAATTCCATAGTTTGTTTTTTCAAAGTATGAAACGTATTAATAAAGTTCTCCTTACTCTGAATAATAAATATGAAATTAATTAAATTAATTTTTAAATTTAGATGAATGCTTGCAAAATACTTACTAATTCACCACTTTTTCCGGCGGCGGAACTATATATAGTTAATCGCTTTCCGATACTTATATTCATAAATATTCCGGAATTAGCTAACATCCTTGGAATTTCAGCGAAAATCCAAGGATTTACACCTTGCGACTTTATTCCAGACACGACTATTGAAAACAAATCATTAGATGTAACCAATTAAAAATTCTTAGATATTAATCTAAATGACTTACGAGCTTGTGATAAAATTTTTGTGACTTCTCCTTGATTTTCTAAAGTTATATCACACTCCATCCATTCAAACCATGCTCCAGGTTTCATAACACGAGCAACTTCTTTAATGATTATTGATTCCCATTGTCGCCTTATGAAACATCCATTTAAAAAATGCATAACCACAAAATCGAATTCGCCGCTTGCAATTGGTATACCGTGAAGGATATTGGCTTCTATGAATTTAACATTTTCTGGAAGTTCTCTTAAGGAATAAACAATATCAACACCTATGAATGTGCATAAGGGATATGTTTTGGCCATTTCGATTATCCATGTTCCTGGACCGCATCTGAAATGATCATTTATTAGAGACTGGAAGGATTCAAGATGAAAAATGGTTTAATAAATACTTACCCAACGTCTAATATCTTTAATCCACCGGCTTTTAAACGATCTTCAATTGGCGAAGAGAAATTCCCTTGCCATACAAGTCTTGCTATGGCTTGATTTTTTTCGCTTTTTATCATTTCAGTTTCGTCTACTGGGAATATATTGGGAATATCTCGATGAAATTTTCGGCCGCTCACATACCGAAAAATTAAATCTTCTGAACTTGACAGATGTTCATCACTACTTGTGCTAGAAACAGATGATTTGAAGTATCGTCGTTTTGATTTTTTTGAATGTTGGTTTCCCATTTGTAATGTAATAGTAAGTAAATAAATAGACAAATAAACGAATATCTGCTTTAAAAGTAGCTAGTTAAATATATACAAAAATTTCCTGTAATATGGAAAGTTACAATATTATTACGTATCAAAGTAATGATTATAATTTTTTATATGTACAACATTCTCATTATCTAAGTTTAAAGTATGCACTGACCCATATACATGTATGATCCGTGCGAATTCTGTTTGGTTTCTATAGCTAATTTTTTTCATTATTAGCTGATAACATGTTGTATTTGTAGTAGCAGTCTCGAAAAAATTGCATAATCAATGAGATTTATGTAATGATTAAGAATGCATTAGTTAATAATTTGTCATCGACTCGTAATATATGTAAAAATGGATACATGTATTTCCCCTTTTTCGTAATCCGTATTATTTAAATTTTTTGGGCGCATTAATTGGTCATACGTGCTTTTTTTGATATATTAAACGGAAAAGGAAGTTGAGTTTTATTGAATGTCTAGACTTATATTCTTTGTCATACGCAAATACGTAATTCAATTTCGGAACTCACTCTTTGTGTTCGACAAAAAAAATTCCAAACCACGTGGTTTAAGGGTAAGCCAATCAAATCACAAGATGGGTTGAAGTCAAGTTAAAACACAAAAGTATTTTCATGGGTAAATTTAAAGATACAAGCTATTAATGACAATAACATAAACATTTAAAATAAGTTATTAATTTTTAACGTACAATATTTAATACGGATTAAAAAGATTGCAAAAGATCTTGTGTTTTAAGCCACAATAAATTTGTTTTGTCTAACGCTAATTATCTAAATTTTCTAAATTTACAAAAATCCTTGTCATTACGTAAAGAGTGCAATTAAAAATTATTATATCGTTATTGTTATCGACCGGAAAAATTTTATATTTACCAAATCAGGAAATCCTATAAAGAGGGGTATATCAAATAGAGGAGCAATTCACATATCGATTGACGAAAAATGATTATGCACCTGTATAAACACCCGCTTCAATGCCTCATAAAATTTTTAGCTTGGTGAAATTTGAAAACATAATCACAGCTTTCATATTATCATGTGCTTTTTACCAGAATACGGTCAAACTTTTATATGAGAGGTGACTGGAGGTTTAACTGTATTCCATAATACATGTAGACACCGAATATTTTTACATTGTTTTTAGCATGGAAAAATAATAATAATACATGTACATACATAATCAAAGAAAATAGTTTAGCCATACAAAAGATTTTTGCAAGTATAATCGTGTCTTCATATAATCACACACAAAAAGTGTGACTTTAAAGAGTTTGTGACTATATAGAGATTAATTTCTTTATGAGAAAAGTGCGATCGTAGAAAGAGGTTTATATAGAATGCATTGTTTATTTTATAACAACAAAATTATTTATTTATTTTGTGACAGGGAAAAAATCAAATAACAAAGTGTACATCTGTTTTTCTCATTTACGTAGCTTCATGTCATACGCGCTGCATTAATGCTTTTTTGTATGTCCATTCATGCCCAACATCTTTATTTAAGCACATGAAACTATGCACGTGTACAGTGGTTTATAATTTTCTATGCATTTTTCATGTTCAATATCAATGCATGTAAATACATTCTAATTTTTATCGAACAGTTTACATAATTATCCATGTAATAACGATAAAGTTCTATAATTTACATAATTATCCATAATAAATGTTCTATAATTTACATAACAATGTTCTATAATTTACATAACTATCATAATAAATATTCTATAATTTACTAAACTGACGATAAGGTACATGTATAACATTGTTTAGTAGAATTTGTGACTCGAGATTAATTTTTATTATTGTATTTTCATTTGTATTTGTAAAGAACATTAATTGTAAATAACTATGGGAAATATAAAAATCATCTTTAAAGAAACAAAAAATAGAAAACTATTAATTTAACAGATGAGCGAGAGCAACCGAAAAATAATAATTCAATTCAGAATATGAAATCGACGTCCTCATTTTCTCGTCAAACATATACTCGAATCTAAAATTTTCTTGTCCATTGGAAGAAAAGTCAATGTGAGGCGCTCGTGTTTTAGACGGAGGGTAAACCATATTATATATTAAATTATCTTCCTAGTTTTTCTTACCGTTGTTGGTTTGGCGTCGCAATATCCAAATTCTCACTTCTTTGGTGTTGATGTCAAACCAATCTATCCGAATCAAATAAAACCGGCAAATGTAAACTTCTATCAGTGTGACTTGATGCAATTAGAACAATTAGGTTTTGAAGAAAACTCATTTGATACGGTTCGAATAGCTCACATGTATACTTCAATTAATAATAGTTATTATGTCAAAGTAATCGAGGAAATGCTAAAGTGTATTTTTCTTATATACGAGTGCATACTCAAATTTCAAATAATCATAATTTTTCATGACCATTTACTTCATTTACTTTGACAGGTTTTTTAAAGCCGGGTGGATATTTGGAGCTTATAGAAATAGAAGCCATTTTTCTGATGTAGGATCAAATCTAATATGATTATTAAAAATGTGTAAGTTTAAATTATTTGTGAATTATAAATTATTACTTTTTATTTAATAACAAAGTATACTAACAATAATTTCAGTGATAACATGTCTTGATGCAACCAGCGCTACTTTAAAAAAATAACTAGTGCTAATTTAGAAAAAATGCTTCTCGATACCGAAAAATTAATGAACATCCAACGAAGCACACGGATAATAAAACTTGATCCATCTGGAGGCATCTATGGAGAATTATGCTTAACGCATTTTGTAGAATTTTTTATTGGCTATATTAGTGAGCTGTTAATGGAGTCAATGACGATTTTTGAAAAGGAATACGAACATTTTGGCAGCAATGCAAGGCCGAATGCATTAAATTGGGGGCTGGAGCTCCGTTTACGAGCATTTTGGTGACAGAAAATTATCGTTTGAATTTTGGCTGTTAAAATTTTATTAAAAAAATATAATTTTCAAAAGCTTGAGAATAATAATAAACTTATCCAATAATCGTATTTCGCCTCTTATTAAAAAAATCAACGATATCTAATAAGGTTGGAACCCGACATCAAGTTTCATACTCTCGAACTGATATGTGATATTTATTCTTGACAAAATTCGCAATCAGAAAATTTTCAAATATATAGTTACTTTGGATACAGTAATAAAATATAATAATGATTATATTTAACGATGGTGATAAAAGCATTAATATAAATTTGAACCAAATAAAAAAAATAACTTTACCGATAGCACTTCGTAAACCAGGTCGTGAACATGTACGTAAAAAGTTTAGGTTTGCGTGGATTTTGTCATAGGTTTCGCCAGATTCATCAATAATCACCAGTTTTAGTCAATAGCAGACGAATACCTTTATTTTCATATATTCTTTTACTTGATGCTGAAATATTCAATCACATTCAGAGCACGGTATTTGTAATACCGATACATTTTTCTTAGGCAATCAGGATTGTTTATTAACGCTAATGTTGACCTTCCCAGACCAGAGTCTATAACCAAGATTGTTATGTCTTGGGCCAAGGAACCTAGTATGGCCAATATTGAAATCGATTGGATCCTGCGGATATAGACGCGATCGTGAATTTCGGATGTGTCCCATGTAGCCGGACGACATCCATGTTCAATGTTGAGATCCTTTAATTCTAGCATGATGAAAAGCTTTCAATTTTCAATAATGTAAATTAATTTCTTGTAAAGATATTTAAAGCATTTTAAAAAGTATAATCCGTTAAGCTTTATATTCTTATTATTATTATTATATATTAATTTAATGTTCATTAGATGATAATGTGAATAACCAATTTATTGAAATAAATTCAAGAACTGATAAAAAATAATCGAATATCTTAAAAGTTATAAAATTACTTTTTTGCTTTTATTTACTTGTATTATCATATGTTATCATTTAAGATCAAACTATAATTTTTTTCCCCAAAGTTTTTCAAACGTAATTTCCGTTCTAAACTCAAGAAATTCGGCTTTACATTGTCGCCAAAACTGACCATACTCTTCTGACGTCATCCCCATTCGTTTACCCATCACATGTCCGACAGTGCCACCAAAGAAATCATCAAGTGTGGCTAAATATAGTTCTCCGGCAAGGCCGCCAGGTGGACCAAGTTTTGTTTTTTTTGTTAATCGTTGAACATTTTTTAATTGTCCATTGGCGTTAAATAATTTTTCTATAATTGTTTGGACATTACCGATCGATCCTTCGCATGAGAATCCTTTTTCAACTGAAATTAGATATCGATATTAGGTAATGATTTTAATTACATGTAATTGCTAAATTGTAAAAGTGCTAAATATTATTTTGATTCTGAGCGTACGTGTTTTTAACATGCGTAGAAAATTTGGTCCACAAGTTGCGGGCGAAACATCTGTTTCAATTATTTCAAAATAACCACCCGGCTTTAAGAGTCTACAAAGAAGATCAATAGCCATTTAGCAATCAATGTAACTTATAATTTAGATATGAAAGCTGCATACCTTAACATTTTTTCGATTACTTTCGCATAATCTTTACTTATAAGAAGAAACATCAAACATATTCGGACCATATCAAATGAGTTTTCCTCGAATTCTAGCAATTCCAACTGCATCAAATCGCACCGAAAAAAGTTTGCATTTGATGGCTTAATTTGACTGGGAAAATGTGACTCAAAGTCAATACCAAAAAATTGAGAGTTTTGGTAGCACGTTGCCATTTCAAGAAGCCAAGCTCCCGGTCCACACCTTCAAAATCCAACGTAAAAATCAAAGATTAGATTAAAGTGACAAGCTAATTAAGTGCTTAGAACTTACCCTCCATCCAATACACGTGCACCTTTTTTTAGCGTATTTTCTATCGGACAAGAGAAATTACATCCGAATATATATTTAATTATAAAATGCTGTTGTTGTAGGCGTTCAATTTCAACCTCTACATTCGCCAATCTCGCTGAAGCAAATTCATTTCTTTCAGGAGGATCATCTCTTTGCTGGATTCGTTGCTCAGCTGTCAAAAATATATTATGTTTATTTAAAATTGTTTTAGCTTTTTGCGTTTTTTTATCTATTATATTTAGAAAGGACAATGGAAAAGTGAGAAATATGGAAGAATAAAAAAAATCAAATTTAGTAGGTTCTGTAAATTATGTATAAAAGGTGACAGACCATATGCACACACAAAAAGAGTGATAAAGAGATCCCTAACCTTCCGATTTTGGAATTCTAGGTCTAAGGGAAATTCTAATATAATTAAACAACCCCATATTTTAATGTTTATTATTATGTGCTATATAAAAATTAAATACATAAATCAATTCTGAGTCGTTATATGCAAAATCACACGCTTCTTGGTTTTTTGAAATGATTATTCGTAAGTTAATTAAGAATTTTGCTGTGAAAAAACTGGGGCATCTCGTTGTTCTCGCAAATTTATTCATTTTTTTCGAAAGTTGGTTTAACATTTTCTTATTATTTTTAGAATTGAATTATTAGCTTCACAATCAGGATAGTATGAACCAAAACTGGCAGTCATTTTAAATTACATAAGATTCAAAAAATTAAATAACATCAATAATACACGTATTACCTCCTAAATGATGTTAGAAATTACGGTATTCCTCATGACTTATTTCAACCAAAATTAACTAGTGTTTTCATTGAAATTCAGAAACGTGACTAGATTATTTTATTCTGGGACACTACGCTTTTTGAGGTTTTCCGACTATTTTTTATTTTTCCGTTTATATTAAAGTAAATCGCATCGCATAATAAGGTTTAATAATAATGGCCGTAGCATTAGATTTTGGCCATAAAAAATTATGTGTGAATTGGTTGTCACACCCACCTTTTCTATTCTCAAGCGGTTATTCTTTCCAAACAAAGAAATTAAATGATAAGGATGAACGAACAGAACAGACCACACGATGCGGAGAAAGTATACGTTACACGCATATTCATGAAACAAAGAAGAAAACATGATGATCGCTAATGAGAAAGTGTATGTACTCTGCAGCCCCGCATTGAACGTTAAATTTTTCCTACAAACATTTTTATCGTAACAGTAACCAAAATTGGACATAATTTCCCGAAGTTTCAAATCAAGGATCCCGAATATCGATAAACATAATCAATCGACATGTGAGATCCTTATCAGAATGAAATAAAAATATGAAATAATGATTACAATAGCATTTCATCGATGCTAGGTCAAAATTATTAATTGGGTGAAATTTTGGTTAGTTTTGACAATATAATTTTATTGTGTTTCATTTACGTATTACATTTAGAGAAAACCATATAGATACGATTAAGGAATTAGCATAAAGAAACTCATTATAAGGCACGAGTTTCAATTATTCTAGAATACTTTCAATCATTTAAAATCTATCACTATAGATACTTCGTAATGTTCTTTATTATCAAATCCTATTGAATATAGTTTTAGTTTATTTCGTTGTTAACCACTGCGTAACGTTTCATTCTGTATAGGCTCGGCGTTTTAGCATCATTTATATTATCCACGCCGTTTTTTTCCCAGAATTCTAACAAAATTGGTTCATTTTTCCGAAGGATGCGCGTTTCATTTCTGAGATTATTATCCCATGTATTCGTCATTCTCTGTTGTGCAAATAATTAAACTTTCCGCATTTGTCCATTTTTGTAAAAGTGCATCGTGCGTGGTTCGAATCGTTGATATGCTAAAAAATTAATTTCTTTTTAATATCAGATATATATGGCAGATCGATTTCCAAACATCAATCCCAAAGTAGTTCACAATAATTAGAGTAAAAATACTTGACTCGCTTTTCTGCTATATTTGGCTAAATCAATAGTCTTCTTTACAATATATTGAATGTCTAAAACTCTATATTGCCTCGTCAATTGAGTTTTCGTCTCGATTCTAACATTTGTTAAAATCATAATTTTACGCTAAGTCTAATTTTATCGCATTATAAGCTCTTTCGTGTTATAAACAAAGTTTATTGTAGCTTGGTGTTATCTCTGCTTTGTATCTCGCAAATCAATAACATTCGCTTCATTTTTATTGGTGATATGGCGCATACATTCAAAGCTTTGTGACTACATCAACATTTATTCTGGGGTGTCACCCAACATCCCAACACCCAACTTCTCGACAACTCAACATCCCGACAATCTTATCTTCCCGACAATCTAACATCCCGATAATCCAACTTCCCGAGATTCAACATCCCGACAAACCTAACTTCCAAACATCCCGAAAAACCTGGTTTATATTTGACAATTGGATTTTGGGTATGTCGGGACGTTAGATTGTCGGGAGATTAGGCTATCGGGAAGTTGGATTGTCGGGAAAATGGATTGTCTGGATGTTGGTTTATCAGAAAGATGAATTGTCGGGAAGATGGTGTCGGAATGTTAGGGTAGACAGACCCACATTCGACCGTGCATACATTTGAAAATAAAACTTGGAATTATGCTTGTAATAAATATCGCTTCCCTTTGATTTTTATTATTGAGTAAATGATAAAGATACTTTCAACTAGTGCTCCGAAGAGATCGAATCGGGTCGGGTTTTAGGACATATTCGAATTCGACCCGAGTATAAAAATTGAAATACACACCCCACAATATATTACCGGAAATAACAAAAATAAAACTATCATTTTGTAATCTAATATATCAAAATCCAGTGATCCC